AACTTTGCCATTTACAGGCATTACGTCAATGACAGGTGCAAGGCTGTCACACTTTTATTGGGGGGTTTAGTAAATTGTTCTTCATTAAGACCACCTGCTGCACCTGTGTATTCTTTAAAAGAGAAAATTTTTCCTCGTATTGAGAAGAGAAATCGTGCTTCGTAAAGAAGTCTACTTTTTTTATTTTTATATATTTTATTTATTTGTTTATTTTGTGTGTGTGTGTGTGCGTTCCCTTTTTTAAAATGGAATTTAAACTTTTCTTTTTCCCTTTTTTTTACATTTATACTTGTTTTTATTCTTGTGGTTTTTCCATGCCAAATAAGCTCTTTTTTGCCATCGGTTGATTTTTTTGTTTTTTCCCTTGCCTCTTTTCCATTTGACTATAAAAAAGGATGAAAAGGCTTCGAATTTTAAAATTGGCGGGTTATGGGAGAAAACTCATATTACGCCCTGAAGCTACCAAGGATCCTTATCGATATCCATTAGGGTACGTGCCGCTTGATGGATCTGAACCGCTGGATAGCATTTGGGCGTTGGTGAAAAATGGTTTTTTTGTGGCTCCTTTAAATAAAATTGAGACTATTCACCGAGCCCATTTGGGGATTAGGTATTTAACACAATCAGAATATCCTGCAATTTCCGCAACCGACTTAGTGGGTTTACAGTTGAGATTAAAGGAATTATGTAGTCGTTTGCTGATTCGTCGGGACTTTTGGGTTTTAGAAGACTTTAATGATCCCGAACTGAACACGAGTTTTGGTATTCAAAACGTGTTTTTTGATAATTTTAAATGGTCTCAGGTTTTATGGAAGAGGTTTCAGGTTTTTGTCGAAGAGTACTTCCCTGTAATGGATCATACCCATCTAACGTACGATGAATACATTCAATTGTTGAGGAGCTTTTCGCATTTTGAGCAAGGGGCTACATTGGCTCCTCTCTTGCCAAGACGGCACAAGGTTCACCCACCATTTGGAGTTTCCGCACCTTCCAAACTCGATATGGAACCTCTCTTATTGTATATGCAATGGCTAAGAAATTTTAGGGGTCCTTTAATGTTAAACAAAGCACTTATTGTCTGGAGTGGTTGTGGTTCTGCTGCTTTTGCAACTAGGTATTGTGGAGTTCCTATTGTTCGGGGTGTTGATCCAAATCCAAGAGCTGTTTCCTCTAGTCGAAAGGATGCCCAACTTATGGGCAAGCAGTTGATTCAATAA